ACACACACACACATGTCTCTCACACACACATATGAACATGTACTTACGAACGCATACGCACACACCCACACACATAGAATCATATCAAAATATCACACGTGGCCCGTGCCACATCTAAACTACACACAGACGTCAATCTTTGTAACAAGAACAGGCCAGCACTTGGTACACAGTCAGTGATTCTCATGGCAATGCTCCCGCTGGGCCGCTGGAGCTCCACGATGAAACAATTCACAAGTGACACAACAATGCTACAGGCTGAGCAGAGTTGCAATGATCCTCAGAAGGGTAGCATGCCCTCTGGCACGAGGAGGTTGTGTGTTCAAGCCCCATAACGGTCCTTCGGGGCATCCGTTAAATCGAGAGGTTCGACATAGAAGGGTACTGGGAGCACAAAACCCCGAAGCCTGTAAGGTGATGCTCGTGATCGGTTGCGCAGGCTTCAACTCCGATGTCTCTCTTACAGCCACCGCGGTAGTGGCCGGCTCCAGATTTTTCCAAAAACACAAACAAACAAACAAACAAACCAACCTTGGGCCCAGTCAGTTCCACGATGATATGCTATTATGCTGGACATCCGTGGCATCCATACATTAGCACGGCCCCTGGCATAAGGAGGACACTCATAAATCCAGAAATGATATTTTCTTTTCTAATTCATTCTGAGATGGTCTAGAGAAGCAACCATAATTGTCATCATGATCAGACATACAGCTGCCATACCAAAAGTTCTGCTTCCTTAAAAAAAAAAAGAAAAAAAAGTTCTGCGGCTTCTGCTCTGCCACAAAGCCATATTTCGAGGGAGAAAGAGAATTGGAAGCCACAAGGTTTGGCGTGATAGACCAGCACTCTAGCGAACTGTACTCCTTTTTTTTTTTTTTTTTTTTTTTAATTAAGGTACTCCCGTTTCACGACGAGCAGGACTGTTCCCAGCGAAGAATATATGATTTACTCAACTATATTATATTGATTAATATTATTTTTCTTTACTAAATCATTTGTATTCTGATTTATAATTTATTTACATCTTAATATTTAATATTATTTATTTATTAAATAGTTTCCGAAAGCATCAGAATCCAATCAACCAGCACACGGCTCTCATGGGAGAAAGAAAAAGAGGACGTGCATACCAGAAATCGGCTGATTCAAATCATCCAATCAGGCAGCGACTGCAAGGTTCTTCCAGCAAGGACAAACGGATG